CTGAAGGTACAGATCACACGTGTGCCCAAAGTGGAGAACATTGCGAAGCCCCACCGCAGCACGACCCTGTTTTAAACGGGGGCCCCGGGTAGCCTTCGTGAAACAACCCCGAAGTTCGGCTGCTGGGCCCTTGGCGGGCCGCCGGCCGATGCCACTGCCCCAACAGGCCTTGGGTGCCACAGAGGCGAGAATGAGGCGAGAAAGAAGCGAGAAAGAGGCGAGAAAGAGGCGAGACAGAGGCGAGAAAGAGGCGAGACAGAGGCGAGAAAGAGGCGAGCAAGAGGCCAGCAAGAGGCGAGAGAGAGGCGAGAAAGAGGCGAGACAGAGGCGAGAAAGAGGCGAGCAAGAGGCGAAAAAGAGGCGAGCAAGAAGCGAGCAAGAGGCGAGAAAGAGGCGAGACAGAGGCGAGAAAGAGGCGAGACAGCGAGCCTTTGCTTGGCATGGACAGAGACCGGGAGCAGGCCGATACGCTCGGCCCGGGCTTTGCACTCCCGGCCCCTGTCCTGCTCCTTGGCAGAGGCCTGTCTGCGTTTCGGCCCCAAACATACTCCGCAGCCGAGGCCTTAGCGTCCATGCCATCGGTCTGAAGGCCGCAGCCGTGCGGCCTCAGTGCTGGGTTTTCCCTGGATGCGTAGTCAGGCGACCGGACATACCGCTCTGCTCGAAATCATCCCACACGGCCTGCCAGGCGTCGAGTTCCTGCCGGGTTCGGTGGACGGAGGTACGGTCGTCCATGTGTAAAACCTGAACAGAGCAGGGACAGGTTTCGCAAGCTTCTTTGTGGGGCGCTGAAAGCACCAGGCTCATAGCCAGGAGTGCCCAACAATCCCCCTGGAGCAGGGCAGCACAGCCAGCCACATCACCAGGCAGACCGATCCGGCCCAGGAGGGCTCCAGCAACCTCATGGTCCGTGGAGAAATGCCTTGGCATAATCCAAGCTTCTCGCCCACGGGTAGGCTAGCCGTGGTCTCCTGAGTCAAGCTAAGTAGCAGGGTGTCCGCGCTGTGGCCTGGGAGGCCCCCCGCTTGGCGGACGCCCAACAAGCCTGCCGGGAAAACTGCCTGCTGGTAGCGCAGGCGGGCCCAACTACGGTAGAGCACGTTGCCAACAGCAATGGGCCTGGCTTTAAGGACTTCAGTCTGGGTTGACCCTGGGAAGAAAACAGATTCTCCAGTGCAGGTGGTCTCAACAAGGTCCAGGACCTGGGTGTTCCACGATCTGCAGTATTCACCCCGGTCACTGCGCCCATTCGCCATGCTCGCTGTGGGGATTATGAGCCGCCTGGTGAGGCGGCCACCATGCTCGAGCGACAAAGGATTCGACAGACTAGGCGTATCAAGTCTTTGCTCGATCTCCTTCGTAAATATGGCACTTCTTATCAAACTGGTGAACTTGCCGCCCAGCAGTGGAATGCCATTTGGAACTCCACCGGCTATCGTGGCTCTTTTATCACTTGGTTACTTGAGTGGCCTGAAATTTGTTTAGTTGGCTTTGACTGCCCAAGTGCAGATCAGCTTCACGACATCTATCAGATTGTGAAGTTTGACGCGGACGCAATCGTTTTGCAGGGTGTCCGCCAGCGCCGCGATGCCAGGAAGAGCCTCCAGGCTCTCAGCGGACCAGCCGTCCTTGCCAGTGGCTCATGCCATGAACAATGTTTCGGAGAGCCTCAGGGTCAATCGGCACATCGGGGGCGGGAGGGAGGTTAGGGAAACGGTGCCCATATCTGCCAAGGAAGGCAGCCGTGGGGGGCGTGTCACCAGGAGGTCCAGTAAAAAATTGGACTCCAAGCCTGTCGGATGGCGCGGAATCCGTTAGCCTTCCCGGCCGTTAACTGCCAGGGGCAGGCGGGGCCATTTTGACCCAGCGGCAAGCCGCGGGGTAGTCTTGCATCTTAGTGCGCCAAGCCTTGACTGCTTGCTTGTGAGAGTCATCTAGGATGCGCCTAAGCGAATCACGGACCTTGGCAGCCGCACGGCCCCCCTGCCACCAGTTCCTGTCCGTTCCACACCAAGCGGTGCGGCTCATGTCATAGCGAAGCAGTGTGCCTCTTCAAGTCGCCTAAGGAGGCGCTCCCTGAAGCCTTGGTCCGGGGCCATTTTCCCCCCTGAGCTCTGCAGGGTTGGAGCAGTGCCTCGGGCCCGACAGGCCCCGTGTGGGGAGAGGCGCCGCACTCTCAGCATTGCGACTCCAGGTCCTCCATGCGGTATCAACATCAAGGGAGTCCAGTGTGGACTGCCACAGCTGAGCCACAGCGTGCCAGTCTTCCTCAGTGGGTGGGGTGAAGCCTGTCTCAAGGGGCCCTGGCTTAATTCCAGGGCCACCCTCCGGGGGGCCAAGTGTTTCACCGTCCGTGTCGACTTCCATGTCATCCTTTTGAGTAAGCGCAACCTTAGCTTCCGCGGCTGGCAGGGCTGGCAGGGCTGGCGGCCCTCAGGTTGCTGAACCCAGCTCCCTAGGAGTTCGCAGTGGCTGGGTGGGAGTCCTCGGGGGGCTTTTTCGCCACGGCAAAATGAGCATCGTCATTCTGCCTGGCAGCTGGCGGGCGGTGCCGCGTTGAAAGTCCAGATACCTTTCGGTCGGGCAGGTGGCTGGAGGTCCTTAATGACCCTCCACCCCTGCGCTTCCAAAAGGCCCTGGACCTGGGCCGGGTTCCACGAGGGTGGGACGTTCTTGGCCGCCCATCTTTTCCTCTGAAAATGGTCGGCTTCGACCTTGTCGGAACTCCTACCCGTCCAAGTGCGGCTCGCCCTCCTCGGCGCCAGGCAAGCCCGACGCCCGCTGCTTGGGCCTGTGCCCAAGCGTTCGTCTGGTACTTTCCAGAGCTGACATCACCTTTTCGGATCAGCCATTTGACAGGGGGCAGAGTTTGGGGCCCAAGCTTTTTGTCGGGGAGAGGGAAAAAGAAGATTCCCTTACTTCCAGACTTCTGAACAACTTCCGGAACCTGTGCGGCAGGCACTTGGATGAAGCCGAGCACGGCTTCCTCCCTAGTTTGGAGCACATGCCAGCCATAGGTTCGAACCCAGAGCCCAGTTGGGAGGACCTGAGTCAGCACTCGCTGGGGCTTTGAGAAGGCCAGATCCCAGTGTTCCTTAGTCATGAACTCCTTAGGGCAAGAGACACGTACGGTCCGGACAGGTTCAGCGGCCGGTGCGGATTTTTCACAATTCGTGATCCGCGGCTCCGGCCCCCATGCGGGCAGTTCCTTGGCGAGGGGAGTAACCCAAACTTGGACCCACTTCCCATCTTGCTGCTGAGCCCACCGGCGCTCAAATCCGGCGTCTAGCGGTGGAGTCTCAGTGGGGTCCCGGACCAGAGCTAACTTGGCGTCCAGATCGTGGACGCCAGCCAGTTCCTTGTACTCAACGCATTCTTCTAAACTAGCCAGAGTGAGGTCCCCATCAGGTGGATCCCCCAGATCGAGGCTGCCAGCAAGCTTTTGCTTGGACAACAGCCTTCCAGGCCACCAAGTAATGTTAACCCGGAGATTTTGGGGAGGCGTGGTCCTAGGACCAAGGGGGCAACCAACTTCTTAAGTCGGGGCAGGAGCTGAGTGGCGCCCTGCGTTTCACACTCCAAAACCAAAGCCTTAAGCCGGGCTAAAAGACCAAGTTCAGGTTCTGGGGGTTGAGCCGACACTTTTTCGGCCCACGACACTGTGCGCGGGGGCTGATCCCCAGTCGCGTTCCGCTCGCGGCTGGGTCGTGAGCCCCTGCGCCCACGCTTAACCTCTTGCCATTCCGAATGACTGGAACTCAAATAATTTTTTGAACTCCCGGACTGGCACTCCGAGCCTGACTAACCTGAGTCAGGAGCTCTCGGAGGCCTTGAAGCAGGACTTGCTCTTGCCTCACTCTAGCTGTGCGGGCGGAGCCCGGACAGCCTTATGGGGCGTGTGGTGATGAAATTGTCGCTGACCCCTTCCACGAGGAAGCCAGCGAGAGCCACGGCCGCTCAGCGGCCAGCGTCATCGGCGGCCGGGCGGCCGCCAGCACTTGGATGGGCGGGTGTGGTTGCAAGTAGTTGCGGCACATACTAAGTAGTTGCACCACTTGTATGTACAACTTAGAGCACTTGTTCTAAATGTGGTAAGTTGGACTTATCGCGCTTTGCTAAGTCGAACTTAGCTCCACTTCCTGTGCCCAAGCATCTGAGCCAAACAAGCATGTGAAAGGGAAGATGTAAACCCGCTCGAAAACGCGTCATGAGCAGAAGTTCGCGTTCCGTCGGTTAGTTGCTGTTCGGACAGGATCCCTGCAGTGTTGACTTTGCGAGCCTTTCCTGGAACAATCGCTGGAGAAAAACAGAACAAAAAACAGAAAACACAAACTAACACAAGCTCAAGTGATATCCTGTTAACAGCATGCACGCGG